TCACACCCGCTTTTGAGTAAGTTGCGATCTTGTAAACGGCAACTCATACAGTTTCGCTTCAGAACACGATGACCGAGTCAAGGGACTTGAAATACACAACCTGATCCAGCCACCTACGCTCTCTTCTTTAAATTAAGCGAGGACACCAAAAACAATCTTATTATTTTTTTAAAATGATATTCCTTAGCATTTTTCGAATATGCGGCTCAATTTAAAACCCAAAATGGACCACAAGACAAGGTACGAATTTCAGCATTCTGATACATGTTTCTCAACCAAAATTTCACGTAAAACACAATGCGCACAACGAAAATAGCCGAAATCAACTCTTTGTGAAGATAATTAATGATTCTTGATGCGTAAATTCAAACCACCCGCTCATGAAAACTCAATGCTCTACGTGATTCACATCGCGCGCTAAACGTTATCATGACAGTCTCTGCGATATAAAAATCTGGCAACCTCAATCTTGACGCTTTGGCTCAGCTATAGCATATTGCTAATAGTTTGAACAACACATGGGGGATATGGGCATTGTTCGATTGAGAAGCTTCCTGAAACGGTTGTAGTGCGCGATTTGACTCACGTAGAGCTTAGAGTATCTTGTCGGCGGGCAGTTCAAATTCCTTGTAAACAATGTGAAAAAAAAAACGTTAATATCTTCGTTATGAGTTGGTTTCAGTAATTTTCGTTGCGTGCATCGTGTTCTGCGTGAAATTCTGATTAAGAAACATGTAACAGATTACTTAAGTTCATACCTTGTCTAGTGGTCCATTATGAACTTCTTGGTCAACATTATTAGACAAGGACAATGGATACAGAAGAGCGCCTTCAAATCAATCCATATACTTAAAGCAAAATTCTGATACCACTATTCGTGCGTCGCGGCAGTCATTTAGCATACCCGACCATTTGAAGGCGAATCATTGCCTACAGGCAACAGGGTACGTATAACAGCAATATGTCATTCCATATTCTTAGGGAAAAAAAGTCCCGCGTTGGCCGACAACATGGCAACTAAGCAGCCCAAGCCGAGGACCGGCCGCCCCCCCCCCCCNGGCAACTAAGGAGCCCCAGTCCGGGGCCCCCCCTGGCAGCTGGCCAGCCCAAGTAGAGGGCCGTGCCCCTGGTAACTAAGGAGCCCAAGCCAGGGGCCGCCCACCTGGCAATTAGGGAGCCCCAGCCGGGGACCGCCTCCCTTGCAACTAAGCAGCCCAAGCCGAGGGCCGCCACCCTGGCAACTAAGGTGCCCAACACAGGGGCTGCCCCCCTGGCGACTAACGAGCCCAAACCGGGGGTCCGCCCCCTGAACCCTACGGAGCCAAACCCGGGGGGTCAGCCCCCTAAACCCTAAGGAGCCAAACCCTGGGGTCAGCCCCCTGAACCCTAAGGAGCTAAACCCGGGGGTCAGCCCCCTGAACCCTAAGGAGCCACAAACAGGGGTCAGCCCCCTGAACCCTAAAAAGCTAAACCCGGGGGTCAGCCCCCTGAACCCTAAGGAGCCAAACCCGGGGGTCAGCCCCCTGAACCCTAAGACGCCAAACCAGGGGGTCTACCCCCTGAACCCTAAGGAGCCAAACCCGGGGGTCAGCCCCCTGAACCCTAAGGAGCCACACCCGGGGGTCAGCCCCCTGAACCCTAAGGAGCCAAACCCGGGGGTCAGCCCCCTGAACCCTAAGGAGCTAAACCAGGGGGTCAGCCCCCTGAACCCTAAGACGCCAAACCAGGGGTCAGCCCCCTGAACCCTAAGGAGCCAAACCCGGGGGTCAGCCCCCTGAACCCTAAGACGCCAAACCAGGGGGTCTACCCCCTGAACCCTAAGGAGCCAAACCCGGGGGTCAGCCCCCTGAACCCTAAGGAGCCACACCCGGGGGTCAGCCCCCTGAACCCTAAGGAGCCAAACCCGGGGGTCAGCCCCCTGAACCCTAAGGAGCTAAACCAGGGGGTCAGCCCCCTGAACCCTAAGACGCCAAACCAGGGGGTCTACCCCCTGAACCCTAAGGAGCCAAACGCGGGGGTGAGCCCCCTGAACCCTAAGACGCCAAACCAGGGGGTCTACCCCCTGAACCCTAAGGAGCCAAACCCGGGGGTCAGCCCCCTGAACCCTATGAAGCCAAACCAGGGGGTCAGCCCCCTGAACCTTAAGGAGCCAAACCCGGGGGTCAGCCCCCTGAACCCTAAGGAGCCAAACCGTTGGGAAATTGCAAACCCTTGCAAACGGACTGAAAAAACATTCTTGCAAGAGACAAAATTCCTCCGACTCACTGTAGCGACAGAATATACGTTATTACTTTGAATTTTTCCTTCAAGAAAGCGAAAACCCTTAGAGGACGCTAATGACGTAGGGTGAAATGGACTTCATTTTGCAGTTCGGAACTAAAATTTCCGGCTCATCCGTAGAGACACGTATGTGCTTTGGATAACGAATGACGATTGGTACATACGCTGTTTTTAGACTGACAATGAGCCTGAACTCGTAGTTCCTGATTGAAAAATGCAGAGTAAATATGGAAATGGAAAACTGAATTACAAAGTGGGATAAAGCTTGACAATTTTTCGCACGGATAAAATCGGACGAACTTAATCGGTGGCAATAGCGAGGCGTCAATGATCGATTGTCGATATTTCAATATTTGAAGCTGTGGTAAAGAATCGATTATTGAGGTGTTCGTTGCGAACACCCCGTTTATCGATCCTTTTCCGTATGTTTAACACGCAGATCAACCATCGGCGGATCCAGCAAATTGGCAACATTGTGTTTGCTCCGTTTAAACCTATGGAAATGTATCGATTCTTGGACGGGCTAGGAGCTCCGACGAGAATCGATTAATTAGCATAGGTGTAAATGGAGGGATTCCAGTGTTGCCAAATGGCTGGATCCACCTCTGAGATCATTTGACATGTTGCAACGCACGCCATGCCACCGATCCGTGAATATGTAAATGAAGTCAATGGAAAATAAGAAATAGAAAAAAAAAGAATGCAAATAGTGAAAATAGACATTCTGTCAAATGCCTAGGCAAATAGTCAAATACTCCAACTTAGTTTGAAATTTTGACTTTTTCCTAATTTTACACAGGATAATTCATTACTCGTGTGAGAAAAAATTCTCAGTAAAAAATTTGCATCACACAATAGCATTTTAAAAAAATTTCAGCTTCTGAGCAGCCATTTACATATCTTGAAACTTTCAGCATGTCATAAAGTACAGAATTTTCGGAATTTCAACATTTGAAAATATGAGAGGCAATTGAAGAGGAAGAGACAAAAAGAGTTCGTAGGTTTCATGAGTTATTCTTCCAAAAATATTGAAAACTCGTGAACTCTTCGCCATGAATTCACAAAATTTTATAAACCGTCAAAATTTAACTATCTGCCTAGGCATTTGACAAAATGCCTGATTTAACTATTTGCCTGCGACAAATACATTAAGCAGAGAACGAAAGGGATGAATTTTCGATTCGGGAATGGCTAGTCGTTGGTGAAATGTCCTCGCGTGCTACATTCAAGTTGCCGCATATCGACGGTGTAAGTCGGCAATCACATAACTCGGTTTGCGACGTCGCAGACTTCTATGTACTTTATTTTTTAAACGGAAAACTACTCAACGGCAATTCTTTAAAATTGTCGTGATTTTTCTCCTCTGTGCGAAGAAAATTCTGCATAAACTTCAAGGAAATTATGTCTTTTCGTTCTCCTTTAAAAAAATAACATACAGGCGGAAATTTTCAGACATCGCAAACGAGTTATGTGATTGCCGACTTACACCGTCGATATAGGTTGTTATAAAATCTTAATTGAAATTCAATCAAGCTTGAAAGTAGTAGGGAATTTTTCTTTCCGAAATTGAACGTGGCTGATAAATGAAATTCTACTGGCGGATGGCGTTCATGTTTCAATTAAAAAAAAATAAAACAAGAACGGAGGTGGGCAAAGCAACGTTGCACCATACCAAAATGGTAAATTCTACCTACCAATCTTTTTTTTTTCAGTGCAGTTTCAATGGAATGTTCCATTAAGAATATAGTGTTCGTAGCATAGCCGAGTTCCTCCACGCCCGGTTGAAACCTCAGAGGTCGGAGGTCGATCCATCGCGGGATGGATGATTTGAACTGAATTTTGCAATTTGGAACTATAAATTCTGGCCTGGTTTAAAAACATCGTATGTGCCATTAGTTTCCCTATGCACAAAAGAGTTTTTCCAGATGAGCCAGAATTTATAGGTCCAAATTGCAAAATGCAGTCCATTTTATGGTACTCTTTTATGTTTCATTTAACTGGAAAAGTATGGACAACTACACATGTAACTTTCTTCTACCACAGAAGGAAGTGCACTCCAACGCAATTGCGTTGGAACGTTTTGATTTTTCTTTTCTCGACGGGTTCTAAATTTTGATTTGGCAATTGATTTCCACGAATGCTCGGGGGAGGTTTTCAACGATGGAACATGTTGATTTCTTTTATCTTCCAAAATTTTTTTTACATTAACTTTACAATTTAGATGTTAGAACCATTTTTCAATATCTTCTGAATGATACTGATTTGACGCAAAAATAATGGAGAATGTTCGCTACCGGAAAACTGTCAGGCATTGACAATATTCTCTCCAACGGATACGTGTTTGTTCATTAAAAATTCAATTGAATTTGCTTGAATATTAAGGGTTCGATTAATTCAGTCGGGTTACACTGGATGCTGATGCTCGCGTTCAAAATCTATTCTCATGCATATGCAGTACATAAAAATGCGTGAAAAATCACGCTTTCCATTTTTAATCTGCCAATCGTATGTACTCCACGATGCATCCAACTCAAGGTTGCCGGATGTCAGACTAAATATTCGGTTCTGATTTCCTTCCTTCTACCTACAATTTTGCTACTTTGGACGAGAATAGATCTATTTGAAATCACCAACATTCGAAGTTCAAAAAAATGTTCATTGTCAAGTTTATGTGGTGAGCCTATCAATGATACTAATTAACACACGTTGCAAGATCTTACCTTGGCACTGAAATCCCTGTTTTCCAAACCCCCTGCAACACAGAAAGAAACACAATGGTTAATGTTGGAAATAGATGGTAATAATGATTCCATGACGAATTCAGCATTACGAAACACATTTTCTTGCACATAAGATGAAAAATACTTTGTAGCTTACTTCAACAAGATGCATTATTTCTTTAATGCTTACAGAAGACACTTACACGTATTCAATTATGAGTGTAAGTATTTTGACTATAGAGAATTAAAGTATAAAAAGAGTCACTGCACATATGTTAGCTTTTGTTGTCTCTAGCACACGGAAAAAATGAAATTGCTGACTTAACAATTAAATTGCTAAAAAAAGTGATTGCAATGTTTCAATGTAGATTTCAAAACACAAAAATGCTACTTTAACAAACCCCTGGTTAAATTAGCTTAGAATAGTGGTTAAAGTAGCATTTTTTTGTTATAAACTCTGCGTTGAAACATTCCAGTCACATTTTTTAACAATTGAATTGTTAAATCAGCAATTTCATTTTTTCCGTGCAGTTAAAACGACAAGTTCTCTATTTGAATCAGTAAGAAATAAAACACACCAACTCGAAAAAATGAAAATAATTAAGGCACACGCAATATTGCACAGTAGTTGAAGAAGTTATCACAAGAGAAAGATTTTTGGTGCCGAAATACAAGTACTTAAGAACACTTTAAAGGTCCAAGTTGGAACATATGCGTTAACTTCAATGACCTTTGTAAAAACTGACTCTCTTTAATGAAAATTGAGCATTTTTCAGTTACCGAGTTGGTGTGTTTTCGTTCTCACTGATTCATTTTTCGGTAAATTCATTGGAGTTTCTAGACAAGTAGGGCATGGATGAGCTACTCGTTGACGAAAAATCAACTCAGTCAAAAATGCAACGCGGCGAACTGCGATAACTCTGAGTAGGTAACATTACAAAGCGAGATTAGTGGGAAAATTGAATCGAGCAACTATTCTAACTCGAAAGTTGTGCGGTCGGTATCACGATTTCCGTGAAGGCGTTTTGACGGACTTGGCGCGAGTGAAACTTGTATTGCCCCGGAGGAACTCGCCGGTTCGCGAACGTCAAAACTCCAGTCAGTTGTTTCACTTAATTAGAGAACTTCGGATTGTTGGGGCGACCACATCTCATCAACTTGGTTTCAACTCTCGTGGTTTAAGCTGTCAAGAAATATCACCGTTCGTAATATCTTCGAGGTACGATTCCGAAACCGTTCGTCGTTTGGTGACGTAAAACTTTTGATATGATGACAGAATACGAGTGCCTGTAAAGATTGAATGTGAACACCTTCACACAGTGTTCTACGTACATCGTCGCTCCTTTGACGTAACGGTGTATCTTTATTTCCACTAAAGCCCATCGGGGCGATTATTGAAACTGATGGACAAAGCTATAGACAAAGAAGACATAGGGAGTATGGAGCGATCTTATCGGTTGACATGATCGGTTCTTATAGACTAAGGAAGAAAATGATGGACTAACTGTCGGGTCTTTAGTGGGTTGCCGTTAGTTAGTCCATTACCTACCTCCTATGTCCAATGCCACCACCTGCTTCCACCAATAGGATCCCTCCAAATCCCTTTTGTCGTCTTTGTCTATAGCTTTGTCTATCAGTTTCAATAATCGGCCCGCAGGAAGGGGTAGAGTTTTACGGAGTGCAAGGCTAACGTGGAACGTGCGATACGTGCTTATGTAAGAGAGGTGAAAATATGTCAAAAATAATTAGAATTATTCCGAAATTGTTGGGCTTTTGGACTTAATTTTTAGTGAATTTATCAATTTAAACCCAGGAGAAATTCACAGAAGTTTCAAGATGTGATGATGTTTGGTGCTTTATTTCCAGAAAATGAGGATTTACAACGCGATTGTCAAGAGCATAGTAACCTACGGGTGTGAAGTATGGCCGATGAAACAGCGGACCCGGGAGGTTTTAGAGGCAACAGAGATGGACTTCTGGCGTAGATCCGCTGGTATTTCCAGAAAGGATCGCGTCAGGAATGAGACGGTACGGGATATCATGGATGCCAAGCAGACCATCGTGCATGACATTATAACAAAACAACTCATCTGGTATGGTCATGTCCAGAGAATGGCAGGAGACAGGTTGCCGAAGAAGGTCCTTGACTGGGTTCCTCCTGGGAGAAGACGCAGAGGGCGCCCAATGAAAGGTTGGAGGGACGGGATTGAAGCAGAAATGTTGAGGTGCTCAATCCCCCAAGATTTGTGGTTTGAAAGAGAGCAGTGGAGGTTAGGAGTCGTAGAGCGCGAGGGAGTGCTGTAAAGCGACTTGTATGTATGTATGTATTTCCAGAAAATGAAATTTTAGAGGAAAATTAGGCGCCATGAAACGCATTTTCATCCCTTGCTCACAGGTTGAGTATGAGAGCTAAAAATGGAAGTCGTTCGTGCATTGTTGCGTGATGCCCTGAAATTTCCGCAGGATACGCAATGAGCATTATATGGATTGCATTCTGCAAAAAGGAACCAGGAGCATTGCGCAATGTTGCTAAAATTGTGCAACTTCTTTTGTGTTGGAAGAAATACCTGATTATCCATTCACAGTTTGTATTTTACTCGCTAAAAACTGTAAATTTAAGACGAAAATTATCATGTCAATTTCATATTTTTTCAAAGTTTCAGCGATTTTATTACAGAGGATGAAGGTGCACGATCTTAGCACCATGGCAATGCTTCTGGTTCCTTCTTGCAAAAAGCAGCAATTTACATATGAAGATTGGATACCCAACAATCAGCTTGTCTGAACTTTTTGAATAAGTTAATTGAACACCTGAATTTACAAAATTACGACTGTTGCTCAACGACGGAAGACGACCATTTCTGTAGCCGCGGCAAAGAAAGTACGGAAGCTCTGTGAACAATACCCATGACGTTGTAACGTTATGGAGGTGAAATGTCTGAAAGCGTGCGAACTCGCAGTGATGCATGCACCTTAATTTGCAGCGGGGAATGTCTCAATCTTTTCTTGGTCCTTGGAGAAGAAAATCCCGGATCGAGATGAAAACGCACTCGAAACAATATTAATAACCATCATAAAGGGGGCGAAATAATGAGTGGTCGGACAACGGAAGCGAATGAATCAGAGCCGCGGTCGCGCGCCCGGGAAACTCCCTCAGAAACTCCCGCGGGAGAAGAGAATTTCTTGTGCCGAGAAAAAACGTCGTATGAACATTCAGATGCAGGGTTGCCACATAATTTAGATAATTAAATTCCCTGATTTCCCTGACACATTTTGGTGAAATTTCCTGACAATTGAAGATGCGACGAATGGTGCAGAAGGCGTAATTGAAATTTGTTTCCTGACAAAATTTCTTGTTCAAAATCTCAAACCTATTCTAGAAAAGCAAATGAAGTGATTTAAACCAATGTTCCCTGACGTTTTCGTCATTTTCCCTGACATTTCCCGGTTTTCCCTGACTTTTTAAAATTCCCTGACATTTCCCGGTTATCCCTGACTGTGGCAAACCTGATGTTGATGAACCTCTCCTGAGAAAAGCTTCATTATTTTAGGATTCTATGCGTAAATTCCTTTGGTCAACATAGAGACTTTTATTCACGATTGGATCGCGTTAAGCAGAAAGAACCAAGCCACATCAGATATTGCAAAATGTAACTGGGCAGTTTATTTGTGTACAAGAGAACGACGTTCGTAAGGATTGTGAATTTTCTGCATGGTGCGTGGCAAATTCCTTAACATTTTCAAAGGAATCCGCACAAACATTTCCTTGTCAAAAGTTTAATTGCCAAGTTTTTGCAATAAATGATACGGCTTGGTTCCTTTCTGCTAAACGCGGTCAAACTGAACTACACTTCAGAGTAAGAAATAGACAGCTAAAAATGTCAATATTCATGATTTATTTGGGTTGAGTTATTTTTCCATCGGTCAGAATGATCACGAGGACTTGATTGATCGACCAAATTTTGGGTTAAATTGACAGAAACTGACTCTGAGACATCTGGAGATGAAGAAAGTGCCCTGCTAAAATAATGTACTCTTTTTTCTCTCAACGTCAATTAGGGTTTTGACTCGCGCACTTAGACCAATGCGATCCAGGTTCGATCCTGACCAGGGTTAAATTTAGAGGATGAAATTCCCTGGCTTTTCTCTGATTTCCCTGACACTTTTGAGTAAAATTCCCTTACAATTGAAGATATTCCATATGACAAAAAAAACATAATTTGAAATAGTTTCCAGGCAAAATGTGTTGTTCTAAACGTCGAATCCACTCTAGAAAGCTAATAAAGGTAAATTAAACATTTTTTCCTGACATTTCAAGATTCTTCCGCTATTCCCTGACTGTGGCAACCCTGATTCTGGCGGAAGAACTGAAAGTTTTGACAGGAGATTCCCGTTAACACAAACCGTCGGTTACTTTTCCTTACTGTTGAAAATCTTTCCCCGAGCAAGCAGGTGTCTACTAAAACAGGCTGGTCAAAAATACGTACTTTTTCAGTACATTCTCAAGAAATTCAGTACATCCTCCAATAGAAAAATTCCGTACTTTTTCAGTGCCTCCATTTGACGAAATTCGAGAAAATTTCAAACATTTGAAATTGCAACAAAAATGACAAAAAATTAAAAAAAAAAAAATCCGGACCTTTATGCGGAATTTCCGCACTTTTTCAGTACTTCCGGATTGACCTTAAAAAATCAGTACTATTTCCGGACTTTCTGGAAAGTCTGGACTTGTACACGGAGAAAAAAACCTCGTGCATGGGACCCGAAATTTAGGTCATATGGATCTCTGAAGTTTCCGGATTGAGCATCTGAACACTTTAGGTCTGGCTGTCGAGGTTCAGATCACACATCTGAAACTTCAGTTCTTACATCTGCAGTGCTCCAGATGTGAGAACCGAAGTTTTTCGGATGTGAAAACCGAAGTACTTCAGATGTAAAAACCGAAGTACTTCAGACGTAAAAACCGAAGTACTTCAGATGTAAAAACCGAAATTTCAGATGTGTACTCCAAATCTCAGCAGCTGGACCTGAC